TACAGCCTACTTTATTTATTTATTTTTAAAAGATTTTATTTATTTCTTTATTTGGCAGAGAGAGAGAGAGAGACAGCAAGAGAGGGAACACAAGCAGAGGGAGTGGGAGAAGAAAGCTCCCTGCTGAGCAAGGAGCCTGATGCGGGGCTCGATCCCAGGATTCTGGGATCATGACCCGAGCTGAAGGCAGAGGCTTTAACCCACTGAGCCACCCAGGCGCCCCAAGGGCAGACACTTAACGACTGAGACACTCAGGTGCCCCTGCTGCCTACTTTAAAAAAAAAATCACAGATCACTATAACAAATATAATACTACTAAAAACTTAAAAATTTGTATTATTATTGGTTTTTTGTTTTGAGAGAGAGAGAGAGAGAGCAAGCGAGCACAGGGGGTGGGGAGGGGCAGAATGAGAGAGAGAATCTTAAGCAGGCTCCAAGCCCAGCAGAGAGTGTAACATGGGTTCCATCTCACAACCCTGAGATCATGACCCAAGTGGAAATCAAGAATCAGATGCTCAATTGACTGAGCCACCCAGGCGCACCAATAATGAGAACTTTTGAAATATTGGGAGCATTACCAAAATGTGACACAGAGACATAAAGTGAGCAAATGCTGTTGGAAAAATGACACCAACTGACTGATTGACACACGGTTGCCACACACCTTCAATCTGTAAAAAATGTGATATCAGCAAAGTGCCGTAAAACGAGGTATGCCTATTCTTGGACATTAACTCTAAAGAAATACTATTGCAAATACTAGTGCTTAATCTTTCATACCCATGTAACATTTCCAAAGCTCTGAGCAGAAAATCAGTGGTATCCAAGAAAATGAAGGCAGCCTCCTTCACAGTGGGCACCAAGGACATTACCCCAAGACTCAGTCACTTAAGGCAAGAAGTATTTATTTAGTTCTTGAGTCTGAAGGGCAATGACTGATGCTGAGTTCTAGTGGAGTCTAGTATGGCCAACTCAGAATCAGGGGGCAGAAGAAAAAGACTCTAGGCGATAGTGGAATGAGCTGTAAAGTCACAATTTGAAGTAGGTACATTTTAGAGGTTCACAATAACCACATGTGGTTAATGGCCACCATGTTGGAGTGTACAATTCTACTCTCACTGGCCTCCTTGCAATTCTTCAAACCTGCCAGATGTTCTTCTGCCTCAGGGCCTTTGCACTTTCCCTTACCTCTGACCGAAACTCTCTTCTTCAGATGTGCATATGGATCACTCTCTCACCTCCTTTGGTTCAGATTTCACCTTTCAGTGATGATTTGTCTATCCTATTTTAAATTGTAGCCCCTATCTCCGAGCATTTTCTTCCCTCCCATAATTTTTCATGGTATTTATTGCCACGTGGAATGTTATATATTTTAATTAGTTACTTGTTTATTATCTGTATTCCTTCACTATAATGTAAGCTCCATAAGGACTGGCATTTTTTTTGCCCATTTAATTCACTGCTGTATCCCCAGTACCCAGGGCAATGCCTGGCATATAGTAGCTACTCAACAAATATTTGTTGAATAAATTCTAGCTTTCCCATGCCTTTCTGCAAATATTATATAAAGAAAAGTGTCAGAATCTGATGCAATAAATTGTAATTGTTTCAGGCTTAGGGGGAGAATCTCAAGAATGCTGAAGAACAGGTTTATCCACAAAAAGTGATATTTCCAGACTCTTCCTAACATGAGAGATCAAAAGCAAGATTTTATACCTTAATTAGAGTCAAATGAAAAAAAAGGGATATCCTGAGCAGCCCAAACTAAGCCCCAATTTACCCATTCTTCCCATGTCTTTAATGCTGGAAGATAATTTTCCATCCAGCAAAAATGTGAATGGTTGTGATCTGGTTGGTCTCATATACACTTATCTCTAAGTTTCAACCTTTGGGTGCAAACCAGCATCTCTGTTTCAGTCGCTTAAATACTTGGGTTCTAAAAGAACAGTTACACTCTTTGTTTCTATTTGTCTGATTGGTCAGTAGTTGTCCCATTATTTTGATTGTTTTACTGGCCCCTTGGTGTCTCCCTAAAATGGCAAGTCATCCTAAATCAGCTCCGTAGGAAAACTTTGAAGCATTCATTTTTCTGTAAGTCTCTAAGTAAAACGATATGTGAGTTAATAAGCATCGTTTACAGTTATGCCAGTTTAAATTTAATGTATGTATTTATTTTTAAAGATTTATTTATTTGAGAGAGAGAGAGAGCACGAGATGGGGAAGGGTCAAAGGGAGAAGTGGACTCCTTGCTGAGCAGGGAGCCCGATGTGGGGCTTGATCCTGGGACTCTGGGATCTTGACCTGAGCCAAAGGCTGGCGCTTAACCGACTGAGCCACCCAGGCACCCCTAATTTTCATTTATTAATCAAATATTTATTGAGCTCCCAGTATAGGTCAGGTATTGTGCTGTCTCGTATAGCATTAAATCAGATAGACATGGATCTGGTTCCCAAAACGTAAAATCTACTTGGCAAGACAGAAAATTAAACAATTAATTACAATAAAAATTAAGAATGATGAGAGAGGGGTGCCTGGGTGGCTCAGTCATTGAAGGTCTGCCTTCAGCTCAGATCATGATCCTGGGGTCTTGGGATCGAGCCCTGCATCAGGCTCCCTGCTTGGCGGGAAGCCTGCTTTCCCTCTCTCACTCCCCCTGCCCATGTTCCTGCTCTCGCTGTCTCTCTCTCTCTGTCAAATAAATGAATAAAATCTTTAAAAAAAAAAAAGAAAGAAAAAAGAACGATGAAAGCATACGGTGACCTACTCTAAATAGACTTTCTGATGATTTTTACATACAATAAAATTCACCAATCTCAGTGTACTGCCTGTTGAATTTTGACAAATGTATACAGTTGTGTAACCACTACGACAATCAAGATAATTTTCATCACCCTTGAAAGCTTTCTCGTGCCCCTTTATAGGCAATCTCATCTCTCCCATTCATCCCCAACGCCTTACAATCATTTATCTGCTTCCTATGACTAAAATTTTGCCTTTTTAGCATTTTATATAAGCGGGTACACATAATATGTATAGTCTTTTGTGTATGAAAGATGTGCTTTATCCACATATCAATATCTTGCTCCTTTTTGTTGCTGAATAGTATTCCACTATGTAGATATACTCCCATTTGCTTATGCACTCACCAGTTGGGCTGTTTATAGTTTGGCACTATTACAAATAAAGTTTCTATGAGCATTTTGTACAAGTCTTTGTATATGTGTTTTTATTTTCTCTTGGGTAGATACCTATGAATGTAATTACTGAATTGTATGGTATAAGAAATTACTAAGTTGGGGGTGCCTGGTTGGTTCAGTGGGTTAAGCCACTGCCTTAGGCTCGGGTCATGATCCCAGGTGCCCGGTTTGCAAATATTTTATACCCGCTTCTGGCTTGACTTCATTTTGCCAACAGTGTCTTTTCAAGACAAAAAATTTTAATTTGGGGGCCACCTGGGTGGCTCAGTGGGTTAAGCCTCTGCCTTCAGCTCAGGTCATGATCCCTGGGTCCTGGAATCGAGCCCCGCATAAGGCTCTCTGCTCGGCAGGGAGCCTGCTTCCCTCTCTCTCTGCCTACGTGTGATCTCTCTCTCTGTCAAATAAATAAATAAGATCTTTAAAAAAAAGTTTTAATTTTGATGAAGTTCAATTTTCCATTTTTTTAGTGGTTCTTGATTTTCATGTCCTATTACAGTTACAAAGATTTTCTCCTCCATTTTCTTCTGTAACTATTAGTTTTAGGTCTTACGTGATTCTACATAATCATGATTTTTTACATGATTTTTACATCTCTGAAATTAATAGCGTTTGAAAAGAATAGGCGTGGAAAACTGGAGTAAAATTATTCAGCCTTTTATAAAACGCACCATTATTCTCTAGACCCCAGGTTTGAATTTGGTATTTTAGGGAATACTGTGTATTTAGGAATACTTGTGAGATGATGACTTTCCTGATTTAGACTTCTATTTGTTGTCAACAAGAGAGCAAACCAATGTGACCTGTCAGGGTTCAGTGATTAGTTCCCTCATCTGGAACTGTGCTTTCTTTTCATGAGAAGGGAAGGGAAACACCACGCTCACCTCTCATTCAAAACATTGTGCGTGCCTCTTTGCCCCTTTACCTGGGATTGAATTTGCAAAACTCACCAGTCTTAACTAGACAACAAGCTATTCAAGGTCAAGACCTGTATCTTGTTTGAGATGTCATTCAGTAATTGATTTGTGAAGGAAAGGAGGAATTCCTGGGTCTCCGCGGTTTTGCTGGTATCTGGAAGGTACTAGGCAGTTTGTTGTAGTTTTAATGTCCAGTCCTCACAAACTTGACATTAGAGAAAAATGATCCCATCTCAGTATTCCTAGAGTTTAGCACGGCGCTTGGCGTACAGGAGAGAAGGGCAAAGAGATGAGGGGAAGAAAATCTGTACAAATCCCACTCCCCCATTTATGACTTGAAGCAGGGAAACTGGGCATCTTCAGGTGTAACGTAAGGTGAAAGCTATTCAAGACGGATTCCCAATTCCTCCTGGGCAACAGCGCCAACATCTTTGGGCTTAAGTCCCTTACTTTGAATCTTTGGGGCTTGCGTGGACCCACGCTTCCCCAGGAGGAGAATGGCAAGAAGACTGAAACCTTGAATCTAAGGATTTAGGGGACTCAGAACCCCTTTGCTACTGGCGCATTAGCTCTGGTTGCCAGCAACTGTGGGTCGATAGCTCGGCGCTCGATGCAATCCAGCCAGCCGGAGATGCGGCGCTCCCGGCGGAGCCTCTCGCAGCCAGGCCCCCTCGGGCCTGGGTACCCGCAGTGCGCACGCGCAGAAGGGGCTCGGTTGGGCGAGAGACGCCTGAACGCCGGCGCCGCTAGCGGGCCGAGGCGGGGAGGGGCGCACGCACGAGGGGCGGAGCGGCAGGCGCCCGGAGTGGTTGAGGAGCCGGAAACGCGCTTCGGAGGGTGCGGCCCTGAGGAGACGGCGGGCTGGGCTGGGCTGGGCTGGGTCGGGCCGGGCCGGGCCGGGCCGGGCGGGAAACGTTAGGCCGGCGGCCCCTGGGGCGCGGGGGTCGAGCGGGCGGGGAGGGCCCGAGGCGAGCTTTGCCCGGATGAGGAACAAAGCGGTGGGGCAGGCGCGCGCGCCCCCCGCGCGACCGGCAGGTGGGCTGCGCACGGGCCCGGCCGGGGCGAGGCGAGGGCGGCGGGGCCTGCGGGCCCCACGCCGGCGAGCGGGCGAGTCAGCCAGCCGCCCCTGGGAGGCGGCGTCCGCAGCGCCTGGGCTCTCCGGTGGCGTGGGGACGGGGCCTGCATCCCCCTCCCCCGTTTTGGTGACCGCCCTTGTCCTCCCCTTCCCCAGGTCGGGCAGCCTCCCTCCCGAAGCTTCTGGAGGAAAAGTCCCGGGTGTCCCTCGGCATGCCCCATCTCGCGGCGGGGAGCGCGGCCGCCGGCCCTCGGGAGGAGTTGGGCGGCCCTGGGCGGCCGCGGGGCCGAGTGGCCGCGTTTGTGCAGCGGTTGTAAGCAAGATGCGGTAGCACGTGACCCTGGAACGCAGTCCCTGATGCCGGTTCCCCGCCACCCGTGTGTTCTTTTCTCTGACACTTGGCCCCAAGCAGATGCATCACAGGTGAGTAGCTTGGTGGGCTCCGCGCTGGTGACGTCTGTGGAAAACATTTGGCAAAGGAGAGTTTAGAGTGCCTTTCTTTGGTTTTCGATGCCATGGGGGAGGGTTACAGGTGCGATTTGCAAATGGATATATGTCCCAAAAGGATCAAGAAATCCAGAAGCCAGAATTGGATTGAATATACTCTCATTCAACCACATTTACTCCAAATGTGAATAGTTCCAGAGAGCCACACATGGATTGTTGGCTCATTGACATTTTCCCTATGCCTTTGAGTTATTTGAGCTTTTAATATCTTTTTTTTTTTTAAGATTTTTATTTATTTGACAGACAGATCACAGGTAGGCGGAGAGGCAGGCAGAGAGAGGAGGAGGAAGCAGGCTCCCTGCTGAGCAGAGAGCCCTAATGTGAGGCTCGATCCTAGGACCCTGGGATCATGACCCCAGCGGAAGGCAGAGGCTTTAATAACACTGAGCCACCCAGGCGCCCCGAGCTTTTAATATCTTGATTTGAATTCCAGAGTGTGTTTTTAGCTTTTCACCATGCTTCACCTTGAATTTTGCTGGTTATCCTTTGACTTGGGCGGTAATGTGGAGAAATTAAGTTATTAATTTTGAAGGTAGAAGTGATTAGTTTTGCAGATTTCATGCTGATGTTTGAAGTACTTAATCCTACCATGTCAGTACAGAAATATGCCAGATATAGTTATGTTTGGCTGTTCTTTTGGGACCCTTTCATAGGATGTATGTTTAGGATGGAGGAATATAAAACAAATTCATTGAAGTTGCTGAAACTGCCCCTTGCATTTTGCAAAGTGGCTGCATTTCAGTTAGCTTTTTTTTTTTTTTTAAACATGATTATTTTTTTTTGAGATTTTATTTTATTTATTTTTTTAAAGATTTTATTTATTTATTCGACAGACAGAGATCACAATCAGGCAGAGAGGCAGTCAGAGAGAGAGAGGAAGGGAAGCAGGCTCCCTGCCGAGCAGAGAGCCCAATGCGGGGCTCGATCCCAGGACCCTGGGATCACGATCTGAGCCGAAGGCAGAGGCTTTAACCCACTGAGCCACCCAGGCGTCCCGAGATTTTATTTATTTAACAGGGAGAGACACAGTGAGAGAGAGCACAGCAGTGGGAATGGGAGAGGGAGAAGCAGCCTCCCTGCCCAGTAGGGAGCCCTGTGTGGGGCTCTATCCCAGGACCCCCGGATCATGACCTGAGCCAAAGGCAGACGCTTAACAACTGAGCCACCCAGGCGCCCCTCAGTTAGCTTCTTATATGTCATTCTAAGAAAACGGCATAAGATTCTAAGAAAAAGTCCTAAGATTAGCAACTGGCAAATGATTTATTCCTAGGTCAGTTAGAAACACACAAAGTGTAGAAGTGTGAAAGAAATGATTTTACCAGGAGTGAGTAGGAAGAAGAGAGAGGTTGGTATGATTTTGGCCCTTCTTCCAAGATTGCTTCCCAGAAACTCCTGTGAGAAAGGTAGGTAGAATAGAATTGCACTTCAGAGAGAGTGAGTCTTATGAGGATCATATTGTAAATTCCCTTCATCTGCTTTCCCTGTGCGAGATACTAGTTACCTTTGGTTTATGGCTGCTGAGGTCGTCACGTTTTAGTGACTCACAACGAAGCAGAAATCTGCTGAGGTTCTCACATTAAACTGGTTTGAACTGGTTTGAGAAGGCCTAGGAGTCAACCTAGAAACACCATTTTGATTTTTATCTGGAGATTAGGTACACAGATTAATATTCAGGAATTTTTAGAATGGGATTTGAAGCTGGAGACTTTTAAGTGTACTTTAAAAACTTATTGTAACCCATTTGTTGTAACCCCCTGCTCCAGTGCTTGTAGAGTTCTAGTTATATTTGTAGCTATAAAAAGTTACGGGAAAAGTCTGTTTTAAACCAACCCACGCCTAGAAACTTGGAAAATTAAGGTAGCTATTGTTTCTTTAGGCTATAAGGATTTTTTTTGCACTCTTTATAGCATAATTAAATACTGTTATTAATGTGCTCTCCTTTGTAAGGTGTACCTTATTTGTCATGTACTTCTAGTTGCCTTTCTAGTGGCCATGAAAATGCATTGCTCCATCCATATCAAAGATTTCAGAGTGCCTGTTCTCCACTGTGAGCCTTGTTCATTTTATTACTGTCCGAGAGTTTAGTTTAATGAGCTACCTGGCCTGGGGTAAGATTAAAGCCTGTGGATGTAGAATAATGCAGGAACGGGTCTACATGGGACTTTAAACACAACCCGTAATATAAATACACAGATCCTAATTATTGGAACTGTGCAAAAGGCAAATGATTCTTTTAGTGTAATTGTCTTAATTGTAGTTAACAGCTTGAGTTTCTTTTTTAAAAATTTTTTTATTGTAGGGGCCCCTGGGTGCCTCAGTCGGTTAAGCATCTGCTTCGGCTCAGGTCATGAACTCCAGGTCCTGGGATCCAGCCCTGCATCATGCTCCCTGCTCAGCCGAGAACCTGCTTTGCCCTCCCCCTCTGAGCGGTGTCCCCCCCCCCCCCAATAAATAAATAATAAAGTCTTAAATTTTTTTTATTGTAGTTAACATACAATGTTGTATTAATTTCAGGTGTTGACATACAATGTTATATTGGTTTTAAGTGCACAACATAGTGATTCGGCTTAGATTTCTTAAATTGGGAGACCTGGATTTAAATCCCACCTGTCACTTGTTATATAATCTTGAGTTAAGTTAGTCTCTCTGAGTCTGTTTTCTCATCTCTAAAATGGGATCAAGAATAATACCTACCTCACAGCAGTTATAAGGATTAGGTGAAATAATTACATGTAAATTACATGTAAATCACTTAGGTCAGTAAGGGAGTAGTAAGTATGAGCTATTATTATTTTCAGGTTTATTGATAGCTGATACTGCCATTTTTCAGATTAAAACCTATTTAGGTTTGCTTTCACTGCTAAGGAATATGTAGATCCATTTGATTCCTCCTTTCCTTCTTTACTCCTCCCATGGGATAGACACAGAAGAGCTTGCATTACTGTGCCCTATGCTTACTTTCAATATAGAATTGGAGGTTTTTTTTTTTTTTTTTTTTTTTTTTGGTAAAGATTTTGATAGTTAGGGTTTAAAAGGGGGGGGGGGGAGCGTAGAGGGAGAAGCAGACTCCCCACTGAGCAGGGAGCCCGACTCAGCACGGTAGGGCTCTATCCCAGGATCCTGAGATCATCACCTGAGCCGAAGGCAGACACTTAACCGACTGAGCCACCCCAGTGGTCTGGGATTGGAGGACTTTAGTAACCTTCGAATAACTTGTTGGCTAGCTTATTGAAATTGTGATGTTTATAATATGGCAGTCTCTAAATTCTGACATAGGAACTAATGTTCTTGATAGCCTCCAATAGCAAGCATCTTGCTCAAACCATTGTATTCTGATGATACTGTTAAAGATAATGTAAGGTAGGTTGCAAAGAAAAGGTGATTCTCAGATTTTTTGGCTTGACAAAAATGGTCTGTAGATTTGAAAAAAAAAAAGGTTTGATATATTAAGAAAATTTTTGGCAGTGTTTTGCAGCATCATCTGTGCTCTTCTACTTAATTGCTAGGATTTGGTGCATACGACATGTCCTCTTTGAGACTGGTTTCCTCATTTATTTTGATGAATTGGTTAAAGAATAGGAAGTAAATTTTTATAAAGTATGTAGCGTAGCAAAGCTTACATAATGAACCTCGCTATATGGCAGATACTAAGATTTTTATATGGGATTTTAATAAAATCTAATCCATGGTGGAAATACGGTGCTTCTTCACACAGTTAATAATCTAATTCAGATTCTGTATCACTGTAACTCTTAGTTAAAAAAAAAAATTATCTTTTGAGTGAGTTAAACTACAAAATTCTCGTTTGAAGTAATAAATGGGCCATCTGAAGAAAATATTGTGAAAGAAAAAACTTGGTGATTGAAAAAAAAAAAAACCAGACTCTTATTGTCATGTGCTCTAAGGATTGGAGTCTGCTTCAGTCAGTGTGCCTAGGGTTTGAGTTAAATCCTGTTTCTGCTTTGTGGCACTGACTGAGTTAATGACTCTGAATCCCAGTTTCCTTATCAGTAGAAAGAATAGGACCCTCCGTCTCAGAGAACTGTAAGCGTAAAAATGAAGTAGTAGTTGGTCAGCTCTCATTTCCTTACCCCCATCGTTTCAGGTTCTTCCGTAACTTAAGTGGAATCACTGAGGTAAGATTTTGCCTAACTGGTTGTGTGTGCTCTTCCTTAGGATGAATGAAATGAACCTGAGCCCAGTGGGGATGGAGCAGCTGACTTCATCCTCTGTGAGCAATGCCTTGCCCGTCTCAGGGAGTCATCTAGGGTTGGCTGCTTCACCCAGTCACAATGCCATCCCTGCTCCAGGTGAGCAGTAGGGGAGAGCGACTGAATTTCCACACTTAATTGCATAATTGTTCTCAGTGGATCCTCAAGGGGGAGAGAGCCCCTTTAAGAGTGTAAAAGAGAAGCCAAGCAGGTCTGAACATCAGTTCCACATGTGGCACCATCCTGGAAGAAATGTTTTTGGGGACTACTGGAGTTCTAGAGGACAGGAGTAGCAGTTTTTTCTGATTAGTTCTCTTGTGGAGTTGGTGGCCTTTATCTAGAGATGTAGTTGACGTCACATTTTATCTAGGTTTATCAGTTCATCTGGTTCATACCCTTGGTACTCTGTCCGCGGGTTAATAGAAGAGAATGAAAGTTACTCTACTAACTGTTCCCAGAAATGAAGAGAAATTGAGCTTTATTTTTTTATTATATCTGAAACTGGCAACAACTGCAAATGCCCCAGGCTTAGAATTCAAAGAGGAGGTATCCGAGATGGAGCTCCTACGTGTAACTCCCATGAGCCTCAGTACTCAGAGGAATACTATAGAAAAAGCTCATTTTCCCCCATCGCTATACTTGTAAAACCTTTTTATTTGTTTTATTTTCTTTTTCTTTTGGAACAGAAAACAAACAAGCTATTCTTAATGATCTATGACATCGTAATGTATTGGGCTTTCTTTTTTTCTTTTGAAGATTTTATTTATTTATTTGACAGAGAGACACAAGCAGGAGGTATGTGAGGAGAAGCAGGCTTCCCACTGAGCAAGGAGCCGGATGTAGGGCTTGATCCTAGGACCCTGAGACCATGACGTTAACCGAAGGCATACGCTTAACAACTAAGCCACCCTGGCGCCCCTGTATTGGGCTTTTTAAAATCAAAATTAGAGTTAATGCAGACATCTGGCTGGTTCAGTCAGTGGAACATGTGACTCTTGATTTCAGAGTTGTAAGTTTGTAGAGATTACTTAAGGATAAAATAAAAAAAATGTTTAAGTGTATTTTAAATCTTTAAGTTGTTTAAATAGTTCTCTGTAGGGAACTACCTGCTTAATTGCTAAATGCAGCGCTAAATAAATTCATCTAAACTAGGTCTCCACATTCCTTTCAGTGTCCATAAAAGAAATTTTAAAAAATTTTATTAGTATTTAACTTACTCGATTAATGAGGCATTAATCAAAAGGAATCTTAGGCATTCGTTTTAGTGCTCCCAATCAACTGGACAATTTTAAACTAACTTGAGAACTACCTTTCGACATATTTGTGGGGGCACAAATATGTCGTAAAGGTCATGATCTCAAGGCCCTGGGATCGAGCCCCGCATCAGGCTCTCTGTCTGCCAAAGAAATAAATAAAATCTTAAAAAAAAAAAAATACATATTTGTGGGGGCACCTGGGTGGCTCAGTGGGTTAAAGCCTCTGCCTTCGGCTCAGGTCATGATCCCAGGGTCCTGGGATCAAGCCCCACATTGGGCTCTCTGCTCAGCAGGAAGCCTGCTTCCTTCTCTCTCTCTGCCTGCCTCTCTGCCTACTTGTGATCTCTGTCAAATAAATAAATTAAATCTTTAAAAAAAAAAAAAAGACATATTTGTGGATGTCCGCATAATACTGTCTGGGGATATAAAGGGCTATTAGGTGAGATTTTTTTCCCCCCATATGCAGAAACCTTCCTAAGAGTTTAGTGATTATAGAGAGAGTTTTTAAGTACTTACCTTCTTTTAATTGAGAAAAAAATATTTTGTAGGTCTGCCAGTGGCAATTCCAAACCTGGGTCCCTCCCTGAGCTCTTTGCCTTCTGCTTTATCTCTGATGCTCCCAATGGGTATTGGGGATCGAGGGGTGATGTGCGGGTTGCCTGAAAGAAACTACACCCTACCTCCACCACCTTACCCCCACCTGGAGAGCAGTTACTTCAGAACTATTCTACCTGGTAAGTATTATGGTTATTTGGGCCATTAGAAGAAAGAATAGAGCCTCCTCTTAACCTTCCTACTTGAAGACTTGAATAACACTTTTTTCTGTTTGTCATTATTGGATATTAATCTCTAGGTGGGTAAAAATTCATAGATTTTTGTAACTTTCCTCTTAGAATGTACAGATAACACACTATTAATATAGCAGTTTGACTAGACTTAATTTCTTAATGGCACATAAAGAAATTTTTTTTCTCCTTTTTCCTCCAGTATTTCCTAGGTTCAATTTTTATAATTCTGCAGTTGTAATTCTTGTCAACCACATGTCCTGCTAGTGTCATTGTTTATTATAAAAGTTTTTTTTTTTTAAGTTTACTGACTTTTTATTCTAAGTGTATATTTATTTTACAAAATTTAGCAAATAGAGAACCACTCATAGTCCCTTCATCAATCTTTTTGGTGTACTTCCTTCCTGCCTTTTATCTTGGTGTCTAGAATTTTTACTGTTCTTCATAATTAAGACTATATTATCTATACGATTGTATATCTTTACCTTTCTCCACTTCGTATTTTTATGTAGTTATTTTCCATAACTGCTGCATGGTTTCCATAATTACTCTTTTTACTGCTGCATTACAGTCTATTGAATGGATAGTCCATGGTTTATTTATATATCAATCTTTCTTGTTGGACCCTTTGGTTTTTCTAGGTTCTTGTTACTATTGTAGGAATGACTTTGTGTATAATATCTATAAAATGCATTTAGGCAGGATTATCCTAAGTGGAATTTCTTGTGCAAGAGCATGTGAATATTTTTGGGATTCTTTATACATATACGTTCCAAAGAGGTTTTAGTAATTTACACTCCTACTGGCAATGCAGCAAGTACCATTTCACCACATCCTAATAAGCCCATGTGTTCAAATATTTCTTTTGGTTTTAATAAAGCAGATTCAGTTGTGCCTTTTGTTTTGAAAAGAACCTAATGTGCTATGTATGATACTTTAATAACTTAAAACTAGGTTATATTTAAATTTTCTTAATTAAATTTTTCATGTGGAAGACCTGCTTTTAAGTCATTTTACCTTTTAACTTTGATAGAACAAATTTCAGCACCTTGGGTCTCAGGAATTCCAACTATGTATGTTTTAAAGGCATCATTTAAATGCTTAATTTCCAGTGACTTCAAAGGAACATAGTTAATCTTTCATAGTTTCTCAGTTTCACAGGGAAAACTGAATTATGATATATGTATGTTGCTATTTATAAAGTTTATATATATCAATTTAACCAAATAAGGAGCTAGAAGATTATTTTATGGTCTACTTATGTTGCTCTTTTTATAAAGTATATCAGTTAAACCAACAAAGTAGTTAAGAGATTTAGTTAAATTTGTAAGGAATATGGTTTCTAGCGTTTGGAATTCCTTATATTTAACGATGTACTAAAAAGTGATATCTCATCTTTTCCTTCTCTCAGGCATTTTATCTTATTTAGCTGACAGACCACCTCCTCAGTATATCCACCCTAACTCTATAAATGTTGATGGTAATACAGCATTATCTATCGCCAATAACGCTTCAGCTCTAGATCCCTATCAGTCCAATGGAAATGTTGGATTAGAACCAGGGATTGTTTCAATAGACTCTCGCTCTGTGAACACACATGGTGCCCAAAGTCTTCACCCCAGTGATGGCCATGAGGTGGCCTTGGACACAACAATCACTATGGAGAACGTCTCTAGGGTTACCAGCCCAATCTCTACAGATGGAATGGCAGAAGAACTTACAATGGATGGTGTTGCAGGCGAGCATTCACAAATCCCAAATGGCTCCAGAAGTCACGAACCTCTGTCTGTAGATTCTGTGAGCAACAACCTTGCAGCAGACACTGTAGGACATGGTGGTGTGATACCCATTCATGGGAATGGCCTAGAGCTCCCTGTGGTCATGGAGACAGACCATATTGCAAGTCGGGTCAACGGGATGTCTGACAGTGCCCTCAGTGACTCCATTCACACCGTGGCCATGAGCACCAACTCTGTAAGCGTGGCACTCTCTACCTCACACAACCTCGCCTCCCTAGAATCTGTTTCCCTTCATGAAGTTGGCCTAAGCCTAGAACCTGTGGCTGTCTCCTCCATCACCCAGGAGGTTGCTATGGGGACAGGTCATGTAGATGTATCTTCAGACAGTCTTTCTTTTGTACCACCTTCACTGCAAATGGAAGACTCCAATTCAAATAAGGAAAATATGGCAACCTTGTTTACAATTTGTGAGTGTGTTTAGCCTTTTTCTTTTGGAAATATTGGTAGATAGGGCCAACATCTCTAACAGATTTAATCACAAAGTCAGACATTAAGGGAGTATAGAAAGTGACTAGATATTGGAATTTTTCTTTGTGTATTGTTTTTTATATTAATGTGCCTTTTCCTCAGATAAGCCAAATGACATATAAGCATTTTGTTGGTTCTTACAGTATTCTGAAGTAAGGAAACCATAGTCGTTTCCTTCTGTATTTTACAGATAAGGTCAGCCCAATAGTATTCAAGATATTTCTCTGGGTTTCAGAAGTATAGATAATAACTCTAGTTATTATAGAAGTAAACTTCAGTGAGATATTGTCTATGTGTCATGCTATGTGTTTTTTTCAATGTAAGAAATTAGATCATGTGTACTTTTTTGATTCCTGTGGAAAAATGTAGGAAGACACAAATGCAATTTTTATTTTTGTTCAGAATGCATATAAATTACTGTAGTTGGGCACGTAAAAGTTCTTCTACATGGGACAACAATAACAGAAAGCAATATAAAAACTATTCATTTGTTGGTGTCACTACATGGTTCATTCATGCAGGAAACGTGTGGAGGGCTTACTCTGTGCCAGCCTCTATGGTAGATGCAGGGTAGAAAACAGTCTGTAAGAGACAACACATGCCTTTAAAGAGATTATAGTCTGATGGGAAGCATAGGCTAGTAAACAAGCTATTGCAATATAGTATGGTAAGTGGGAAGATGGGATTAAGTGTGAGGTCTCAAAGAGCCTCGGGAGAGCATCTAACCAGGCCATGGAGGGAATAGGGAAGACTTACGAGGGGAGGCTGTGCTTGTGTTAGCACAGACCTGAAGGGCAAGAAAGATGTTGGCAGCTGAGTATCAGGAAGAACAGTGTCCCAGACAGGAGATGGCACCCGAAAGTGCCTAGAACTAAAAGAATTTTGTGTGGTTCAAAATTGCTGAAGCATAGTACGGGGGTGATGAGAAAGAAGTAGGAGCCAGAATACAAAGGGTCTTCTAAGACCAGTCAAGGGTCTTAAGGAGTGAGGTTTGGGATGGGGGCTCTCTGCAGCGTGAGGCGAGTAGACAGGTAAGGAAGAGGATGCCGTAATTTCAGTGAAAGGTGATTTTCTAACCTAGAGTAGAGGTGATGATGAGGAAAGTGGGGAATATTTACAAAGAACTTAGTAGAGCTTGCTGAAGGGTTGAAGTTGGGGGAGAGAATGGTTAAGGAGATATCCCTGGTTTCTGGCTGGGAACCTAGGTGGATAGTGGTACCACTCCTTAGGATAATGGTGGAGGAGGACTGCCTTTTTGTTTGTTTTTGAGGAGTGATGTTGAGTCTGGTTTCCAACATATTGATTTCAGTGTATAAAATACCCAGGAGAGATGTTTATTGAGATTTTAATATGGAGCACAGAGATCTGTCTGCAAATATTTAGGGATTCTGAGTATTAAAACTGCCTTTGGCTCAGGTCATGATCCTGGAGTCCCGAGATCAAGTCCTGCATCGGCCTCCCAGCTCCATGGGGAGTCTGCTTCTCCCTCTGACCTTCTCCCTTCTCATGCTCTCTCTCACTCTCTTTCTCTCAAATAAATAAAATGTTAATAAATAAAACATTACTTACAGCCATGGACGTGGGGTGGAATTATCTCCTAGTGAGAGTGGAATGTAGGAAGGCTGGGGATGCCAAGACAGTGGTGGAGGAAGAGCTTCCAAAGTAGACTGAACAGGAGGGTCAGAGGAGTAGGACAAAGCTTCTGGTGCCTCAGGAGCCAAACAATGAGGAAAACTGTTAATCTTTTGAAATCTGGAAATTATAATTTTAAAATATCTTCACTTGGGAATGTGATTAATGTAGGCTCTTTCACTTAGCAGACGAGGTGTCCTAAATAAGTCTATTGATTCTTTCTTAAGTGGGCATGTGGAACCTCTTGCTCCTTTGTGTGTTTCTTTAAAAATGAGCTATGCTGGTATGCCTGGTGGCTCAGTCAGTTAAGCATCTGCCTTCAGCTCAGGTCGTGATCTTGGGGTCCCAGGATTGAGCCCCGCATTGCGCTTCCTCCTCCGTAGGGAGTCTGCTTCTCCCTCTCTCTGCTCATGCTCGTTCTCTGTCTCTCAAATACGTAAATCTTAAAAACAAGGAAATGAAATATAATTCACATATACATTTTAAATTTTACAATTTAGTGGTTTTTAGTATACTGACAAGATTGTGCAACCAGCACCACTATCTAACTCCAAAATGTTTCATCACCCGTAAATATGCTCCGCTAGGAGCCATTCATCATTCCCACCCTTCTAACCCCCTCCTCCCCACAACCATCCTCAGGTAACCACTAACCGACTTTTTATAGATTCACCTATTCTGGACACTTCATATGTGGAAGCCTACAACATGTGGCTTTGTGTGTCTTCCTTCCCTTAGCATAATGTTGTCCTGGCTCATTCACGTCATGGCAGGTATCAGTCCTTCATTCCTCTTCTGGGCTGAATAATAGTCTGTCATATGACTGGACCACATTTTGTTTATCCACCTTTCATTCATGAACGTTTGGTTGTTTCTCCTGGTGGCTATCATGAATAATGCTGCCATGAACATTCATTTACAAGTTTTTGTATGAACATGTTTTTAAGTCTCTTGGATGTGGAATTTAGGAGTAGAATTGCTCCATGTTTAACTTTTTGAGGAACTGCCAGACTGTTTTCTGAAGTAGTTGCACCATTTTGAATTCCCAGCATCAGTGTGTGTGTTTTCCAGTTTCTCCACATCTTTTTTTTTTTTAAGATTTTATTTATTTATTTGACAGAGAGAGATCACAAGTAGACAGATAAGCAGGCAGAGAGAGAGAGAGGGAAGCAGGCTCCCCGCTGAGCAGAGAGCCCGATGCGGGACTCAATCCCAGGACCCCGAGATCATGACCTGAGCCGAAGGCAGCGGCTTAACCCACTGAGCCACCCAGGCGCCCAAGTTTCTCCACATCTTCTGAACACTTTCTGTTATAGCTGTCTTACTGGCTGTGGAGTGGGTGGGAAGTAGCATTTCATTGTGGTTTAGATTTGCATTTCCCTAGTGACAATGATGTCAAACCTCTACAAGTTCTCATTGGACATTTGTGTATTTTCAAAGAAACCTCCAAGTATTTTTTTTGCACTATGAAACCTGAATCTCCTTTGGAGATTTAGCCTGGTTTCTTGTTAAGAGCACTGGATAATCAGCTCCACCAAGTGTAGGTGATCTCTAATCTGATCTTCAAAGAATTTTTAGTCAAGTAATAGTTGAAGTAAGGTATTATTTCTGCTTTGCCTAAATATGAAAACTTACTGCTATTTTATGTCATTTAAGGAGAAATGTTTAATGATTGCTTAGGGGAAAAAATTACTTAGATGGCTGTGGTTCTGTGGTTGATGTACTCGCAACTATTTTGTGGACAAATTTGGAAAGTTTGTACATAACCAGTGACTGACAGGTCACATGTACTGTTCCTTAGCAGTGATAGAGCACAAGATTTATGGAGAATGACACTCATGAGCTTGGAAAAGTGAAGTTATAGTAACCGTAGAGAGCAGCACCCTTTCTGACAGTGCAAAAAGAACATATGAACAGTAAGAAATTAAGAAATTTAAGCAAACATGTCTGCAAGAACATGATTCTACCTACTGTCCCTAAGAGCATTTTGTTGTTGTTGTTGTTGTTTTGGTCTTAAGAATCTCATCAAAACCTGGGTGACCAGTTTGTTTATAGTGAAGCAAAAGCAAACAGTGTCTCTGACTCTGTTGATCTATGCTATCATCTCTGTTGTGGCTTTGCATGATGGCGTTTCAATTCCAGTTTCCTCGCATAGTTTGGTAGAATTGGAATCTTGGGACTTTAGATATCAGATCTAAAGGTATTATGTATCTAATGTATCTACTTTAGGTAAGAAACAATGTACTTTTTTCTTTAATATAGTGTTTCCTTTTTTAGTCAGTCTCTATGGACTAAATAGTAAAATTGTCCTATGAGATTTAAAAAAAAAATCAGATCTTACTGGAGAGAGATGTAAGAGTGGGATATGTAGCTTAGTGTAAGAAAGTTATTGTTTGATCAGAGTGTTTTTTTAAGATTTCATTTATTTATTAGAATGAGGAGGAGGAGGAGCAGAGGGAGAGGCAGACTCCCAGCTGAGTGTGGAGCCTCATGTGGGGACCCCAGGATCATGACCTGAGCTGAATGCAGATCCTTAACCAACTGAGCTACCCAGATGCCCAGGATCAGAGTATTTTTACTAGACCTTTGCTTTTTACTGGTTATAGTTTAGTAATTAGCATTTAAATGAGAAAGTAGGCGGTACCAGGCTGCTTGAAATAACCCCATTTTTGTCTCCCAAATTTCCTATCCATAGGGTGCACTCTCTGTGACCGAGCTTATCCCTCAGACTGTCCCGATCACGGACCAGTGACTTTTGTTCCTGACACTCCAATAGAGAGCAGAGCAAGGCTTTCTCTCCCCAAGCAGCTTGTTCTCCGCCAGTCAGTTGTGGGAGCAGAAGTTGGTAAGAATCTGGGAACCATAAAAGCCTGTCAGTTCTCTTCCTTTGTAGGGTAGGGTTGTCAAAGTGGATATGTATAATTTAGTCATTATTTGGTTGATTTGGAAGTCAGTTTACTTAATTGACTTCTTAAGATTTTTCTTTCTAGGAATGTTTGTCCAGTGATAGCAATAAATCAAGTTGAAAGTTTCTTGAGAAAGTTCCTCTTTCTTAGAATCAGAATTGAATACAGGAAAGAATTGTGACCTGAGTCTGAAGACTTTTATTCTTGGCTCTATCATTCTTTAACAATTGTGACAAAATATTCCTTAATACTTAAGTTTCTTTTATAAATCATGGTAAATTCATCACTGATAACCTCTTGTCAGATTGAATGTTCATAAATTGTCTAATATTCCTTAGGAAAAAGGAATAAGAAATAAAGACTGCCAGAGTTTGGTTACCCATATTTGAATTTAAAATGGTTTTTGAGGGGTGCCTGGGTGGCTCAGTTGTTAGGCATCTGCCTTTGACTCGGGTCATGGCCCTTGGGTCCTGGGATTGAGCCCCGCATCGGGCTCCCTTCTCAGCAGGAGGCCTGCTTCTCCCTTTCTCATTCCCGCTGCTTGTATTATCTCTCTGGCCGTCTCTCTCTCTCTGTCAAATAAAAATAAATTAAAAAATAATTTAAAAAATGGTTTTTGAATTACTGTCCATTTCTTTGAAAGTATTAAGCTAAGTTCATTATTTTTTTAGCTGTAGTTTGGGTATGAGTCAGTTGAAAATGTTAAAACAGCTTAGATAATATCGAGCAGTGCTTTAAGCACAGGTCATTTTATAAGTTTGATTCATTTTGAAGTAATTGCTTTATGTTTTTATAATTGAGTAATGTTCTCTAGTCTTTTTTTATGTATTAATTCCAAAGTAACACTTGGAGGGACTTGGTTTGGTTCCTTGTGTATAACACTGGGTTTAGGGAATTCTGATACTGCTTCTTACTCTGCATATTTCTTCTGAGCCACATTTAATCTGCTCATTACATTTTCCATATTTATAGGATAGAACCCGTAAGACTTAGCTACCTTACAGGAGTGCTGGAATATCTGGAGTTGTTCCCTAAAGATAACATTCTTTACATGAGCTAAGCCACTCTTGTGTATCTTGTTAGATGCTGAAATCATTGATTGGGCCGTTGGTATCTTTTCACTGATAGGTGTGTGGACTGGAGAAACCATTCCTGTGCGGACTTGCTTTGGGCCTCTCATTGGCCAACAGAGCCACTCCATGGAAGTAGCGGAATGGACAGACAAGGCAGTCAACCATATCTGGAAGGTCAGTGTTCATGAAGCTTTTCTGTGACTTTTGGATGTTTTTACTATAGTGAGGTAGTTAAAAGTGATGTAAAAGCAAAATTTGCCAAGACCTGTATGGTGCCATTCACCTGTCAGGCACTTATTTCATGTTCCATCCTTTCTGTTCTTTGTAGCCAAATTATAATATTTAGCAAAACACCAGCTATGGAATTTAGAAAATAAACTGTTTATAGTCCTCCCTTTGTTAGATAATCCAGTGATTCTTCATTTTAATTACTTGAGGCAGCTGAGGGCATGGAATTTGTTTATATGATGAAAGTCTTACTTTGTAATCAACTAAAACATCCCTCAAATAGTTAGCTTGGGAAACAGTTCTGGGATTGGAAGCTAAGAGCATTTCTCTAGTTTTCTTTTCTTTTAATGATTTCATTTATTTTTGAGAGAGCACGTGAGTGTAGTCGGGGAGAGGGAGAACCAGATTCCCTGCTGAGCGGGGAGCCAGATGTGGGGCTATGTCCCAGGTCCTTGGGATCATGACCTGAGCTGAAAGCAGGTGCTTGACTGATTGAGCCACCCGGGAGCCCCGGATCATTTCTCTTGTTTACTAATGGGAATCCTGGAAATGTAGGGTTTTGATGTAAACAGATATTCCTTTAACATATTTATAGATTCACTTGTAGTCAATAGATTGGGAATGATACCTGCAAAACTGAAATGAGAGGAAAGTGGGTCTTGCGGACATTGAAAAGGTAAGGTGCTGCCAGCGTTGGGGACATTAATTTTGGTATCGAAAAAGAATACAGAAGAACGCTAGGTCCACTGGAAAAAGACTGAGAAGAGATGGTTCTGTGACCTTAATGTCTGTTTAGTCACTCCTTGTCACCATGCGGTAGGTGATGAAGACAAATAGGCTGTTTTTGTTTGTTTTTTCCAGTCCAGCCAGAGTGTGAATAATGAACAGGAAGGTCATTGTATCTACTTTGAGCACTAACTATCGGTCTCCAATGGTCTTTATTACCTCGCTGGAGATGGGGGCCAGTTGAAATGACAGAGAGAACGCCTTGTCAGAAGGCAGCCGTGGAGTTCCACGCTGACTAGGAGAGCAGAGGCCTACTGCAGAGTAAATGGGATTGTTGTAGCTGAAATTCAGTAGCACTTTGTGTTGCTTGTCAGTTCCTTTGACATGTATGTTTGCCTTCTCTTGGCAGATATACCACAATGGTGTCCTAGAATTCTGCATCATTACAACTGACGAAAATGAATGTAATTGGATGATGTTTGTGCGCAAAGCCAGGTAAGAGTAGTCTGGGATGAAGAGATGGTTAAGATTTGGATGTTTTTCAGTGGGAAGCTTTGCATAGAATACAGAAGAGCCCAAAGTTCCAGATTATACTGATGTCTAAACATATGTTCAGGACTAAGGCTTTTTACCTTCTTCACTTCAGTAGTTGTTAACTAATAGTGATTGTATAATCAACCCAAACAGAAGAAGCTATCCTTTTTTTAAATTAAATAGTTTATTCAACCTACCAACGCAGTAAGGAATAATACAGTCATCATTGAATTTGCAAGTGGGTACCTGCTCTTTATATCTGCCGTTAGTCAACCCTCAGGCTGTTGTTGCAGTTAACTCTCATTCAGCTAGCTCTCTCTGTGTCTTTGTGCTGTTGCTCTTTTTTAATCTTTTTTTTTTTTTAAGATTTTATTTATTTATTTGACAGAGATCACAAGTAGGCAGAGAGGCAGGCAGAGAGAGAGAGGAGGAAGCAGGCTCCCCGCTGAGCAGAGAGCCTGATGTGGGGCTCGATCCCAGGACTCTGGGATCATGACCTGAGCCGAAGGCAGAGGCTTTAACCCACTGAGCCACCCAGGCGCCCCTGTGCTGTTGCTCTTTTAAAACTTAATTTTATTTAATTTTCTTACTGCAGAAACACTGTAGTGTTTCTGACTATAAAGGGCAATCAGTTGATGGACAGAAGTAAGAATTCTGTTTTCTGTGTCCCTCCTGATAGAATAGGGAATTAGAAAAATGACCCAAAGAAAATAGTTCTAAGTTTTCGTATAGAATTTTGCTTAGGGATATGATATGTTTAGTATATATTCCAAAATTAGTATGCTTGATTTATTAAATGTGATAACTTAGGAACCGGGAAGAGCAGAATTTGGTGGCTTATCCCCATGACGGAAAAATCTATTTCTGCACCTCACAAGATATCCCTCCCGAAAATGAACTGCTTTTTTACTATAGCCGTGATTATGCTCAGCAGATGGGTAAGTTACTATAAGACTTGTTTCTCCTGGATTTAGCATAGTAAAAACACCAAGGACCAGAAGTAATTTTGGTAATAATTTATATGTTAGCTGAAGCAAATCACATACATTTGTATAAATAAAAGCAGGGTATTACTCCTATGTTAGAAATGTTAAAATCTGTGAGGTTCTTCACAAGCTGAATGTTATCGATCTAGCAGTATTTGTATGAAAGGAACTTCTGTGTTAAGATTTTGATTTGGGGTATTGAAGTTCCTGAGGCTCCTTTTTTGAGGCCAGTACCATTGTAACTTAAGTTCATAAAGAAAAGAAGTCCTTTAACTGATTTAACCTTCATAGTCTTTTTCTTTGCACTGTGTCATGATGACAAGCAATGTTTTATTAGAGTTTATTCTACAAAAATTTTTAATGAAAGTTTTTTTGCCTAGGAAAGATGTATTATAATCCGTTATGTACCAGTGCTTCCTTTGTGCCCAGCACGCTATATGAGATGCTGGGAATAGAGTATTAAACAAGACATTCCAGTTTTACAAGTAGTGGGCAAGATGGAAATTTTGGTAGAATGGAGAATTGTAAGCAATATTATTAATATCAAGAACGAGTTTTAAAATTTAAGTATGAGGAGACATTGAGTAATTTTTTTTTTTGAAGGTGTTCCCGAACACCCAGATGTGCACCTCTGTAACTGTGGCAAGGAGTGCAATTCCTATACAGAGTTCAAAGCTCACCTTACCAGCCACATCCATAACCATCTTCATAGCCAGGGCCACAGCAGCAGCCATGGGCCAAGCCACAGCAAAGAAAGGAAGTGGAAGTGCTCAATGTGCCCCCAGGCTTTTATCTCTCCTTCCAAACTTCATGTCCACTTTATGGGTCACATGGGTATGAAGCCCCACAAGTGTGATTTCTGTAGCAAGGCTTTTAGTGATCCCAGCAACCTGCGGACTCACCTCAAGATACATACAGGTAAGTTATATTAGACCATCAAAATGGAATTTTGCAACAATTAGAAATTGGGGTAATAAATTGCAGCTAGCTAGTCTTGTAGGTGCAGTTAACATGTAAGAGTGCGGCTGACAGCAGGACTTCATTGGGTGATAAATCTCGGTGGGATAATTGTGCTTCCTCAATGTTAGCTCGCATTATTACGATGTTTCACCTTCCAAGTGCCCCTACTATAGTTTGAAGGTGACTGGGAAAATGGACTTCATCAGGAAGTTGATACGTGTGTTTGGACTGAAAGCAAAGGGAATTCTGTAGAAACGCTCTGAGCCTTGCGTAGACCTTATTCCTAGTCAGTGGCCAGAGCCAGTTTTTTTTCCTGTGAATATGGTACAGTCAACACTGCCAAATTTTGTATTTTGAGTTTCCATTCACTAAACTCCATGGAAACCAACCCCTTTCTTTTAGCACATATTTTTTAAAGACGACAAAATAACCCATGACATCTTGGTTTTCTTGGCTGGGTCATTGGTTCCCCAAATCTTTGAAAGTAAAATTCTGCCTTGTCCTTTTGCATTTAAGACTGTGTGGTCACGATGGAGACTATATGACCCACAAAGCTTCAGATACAGACTAGACTTTACAAAAGGTTGTCCAATCCCTGACCTATGGTAATCTTATTTCTGCATTCTTTTTTTTTTTTTTTTTTTTTAAGATTTTATTTGACAGAGATCACACATAGGCAGAGAGGCAGGCAGAGAGAGAGAGAGAGGAGGAAACAGGCTCCCCGCTGAGCAGAGAGCCCAATGCAGGGCTTGATCCCAGAACCCCGGGACCTTGACCTGAGCCAAAGGCAGAGGCTTTAACCCACTGAGCCACCCAGGCGCCCCTTAATTCTGCATTCTTAGAAGGATTTTATTTCACCTCTAGTTTATGAGATCGTATGTTTTAATAAAACTGTACATTGTAAAAGCATGTTTGTCTGTTCACAGATGTTAGAATTCATGAGGTTTTTTAAACATCATTGGGTTAGGTTGGTTGCTAGGATTATAAGTAATTTCTTCCCAGATTTCATATGTGTCAGCTATAAACAGTAAAAAAAAATACGTGTAATAGTCAGGTAAGTGGTCCTAGAAGGAGGTCAGATTTATTAGCTTCGCTGGCCTTTGTTGCAGAATATAAATTCATTTTCTCTGACTGGTTCTAGGTAGATAGCCCTAGAGAGTGATGTTCCAGTTATCAGTTCGGTTTCATTCCTGCCTCTGCCACATACCCATACTTGTGTCTGTCTGTCTGTCTGGAGAATGCTAGTGATTGTTTTATTCACAGCGTGACAATTTGGGTTAATGTGCAGGTCAGAAGAACTACAGATGTACTTTGTGTGACAAGTCTTTCACCCAGAAGGCTCACCTAGAGTCCCACATGGTTATCCACACGGGTGAGAAGAATCTCAAGTGTGATTACTGTGACAAGTTGTTTATGCGGAGACAGGACCTCAAACAGCATGTGCTCATCCACACGCAGTAAGTTACCTCACAGCACACGTGCTCCTTAGGTGGTGCATTTGAGTTCTTGCAAGTGCTGACTCATTGTCTCCTACCTTGGTAGCTGCTTCTTGTGTTCACATAGTCAAACGAAGGTTAGAAATCTAAGTTTTTGGGTTTAACCTGGAAGATTTCACTTGCTTGCTTTATTTTTCTTATTTTCTCCTCTATTTATTTACTTTTTTCAACACGTAATCTCATTTAACAAATATTTTTTAAGTACCTCCTCGATGACCACCATTATGCCAAGTGGTGAAAATACAGAGATGAAAGACACAGACTTTGTCTTTAAAGAGCTCAGAGTCCACTAAGAGAGCCAAAACAGTAGAACACTACTGTACCACGTTGCAGTTAGAGTAAGCATCAGATCCTGAGAGGCTGTGAAAGAGGGTCACAGACCTGGCCAGGGTGTCCTGGAAAAGCTTCCTAGTAGTCTGAGCTAAGTATTAAGATAAGTTAAAATTATTCACAGAGGCAAAGAAGGGTAAAAGTGTGGGAATATCTAGACATATTTAGAAACCCAGATACAAGAAGGACTGTGGAACGCAAGTGGTTCTTTACAGTTAGAGCATATTGTATATATGAGAATGATAGAGAAGCAGCAGTGAAGTCATGAACCTTTTATCCAACTAGGAAAATTAAATTTCTTTCTGGAAATAATGGGGAGCCACTGAAGGGTTTTACCTCCCCATGTAGCAGGCACTGTGCTGGGTGTGTGTTTTAATTATAGTAAAAAAACAAACAAACACCATGTAATACAAAAGTTACCGTCTTAACCATTTAAAAATTTTATTTATTTATTTATTTTAGCTAGGGGTGGAGGGTTAGATGGGGGAGGGGCAAAGAGAGATTCTCAAGCAGGCCCCATGAGCAACACAGGGCTCCATCTCACAACCCTAGGATCATGACCTGAGATGAAATCAAGAGTCGGATGCTTAAAATGACAGAGCCACCCAGGAGCCTCACCGTCTTAACCATTTTTAAGTATACTGTTAGGTAATGTTAAGTGTGTTCACACTCCTGTATAAATGTTGAAGGACTTTAAGAAAATGATGTCATAGTGAGATGTCCATTTTGTAAAGATTACTCTGGCAACAGGACAGGATGATTGAAGGAGAAGGTCAAATATTGCTCGACCTATTAAGACTTCATTGTATGAATCCAAGTGTAATTAAATGTCGGGTTGTGTTAGTTACAGTAGTGGTAAAGAGAAAAGAATAGATTTTGTGGCCCTGAGCCTTTAGCAAATGTTAGAAGAGGGAGAAGACATTAGTTTGTATTATGGAGGTACTGTTTAGAAAGTCATGTTCAATGGAAACATGATATTCTTTTTTTTTTTTTCAAAGATTTTTAAACATGTATTTGAGAGAGAGCACATAAGCAGGGGGAGCAGCAAAGGGAGAGGGAGAAGAGGGTCCCCGCTGAGCAGAGAGCCTGACATGGGGCTTGATCCCAGGACCCTGAGATCACGACTTGAGCCAAAAGATGCTTAACTGACTGAGCCACGCAGGCATCCCAAGACTTGATATTCTTATTCTGAGGTTTAGTTAGCTACTTTGCTTTCATATTTGCTCTTTTGTCTGATTCCTAATCAAATGCAACCTGGGGGGCATCCAACTCTTGGTTTTGACTCAGATGATATTCTCATGGATCGTGGGATCAAGCCGTACATGGGGCTCTGCACTCAGCCGGGAGTCTGCTTCTCTCTTTCTTGCTCTCCCTCTGCCCCTCCCCCGCTCACATATGCGCCTCTCTTTCTCTCAAATAAATAAATAAATCTTTTAAAAAATGCAACCTGAGATACTAAAATATCCATTAAGTTTGGATCTACATTCATAATTCTCAAAATGACTTTTTTAAAAACAGTGTTCATGAGGGAGCTCCATTATTAGTGTGAAATTTTAGAAATTAGACACATGAATTATCAAATACTGTATAGAATTATACATCATTAGAGCTGAAAGAGATCTCTGGGATCATTTAGTCCAGCTGCTTATGTTAGCTTGAGCTCCCACAACAGAATACCTTCTGGAGACTGGAAATCCAAAATCAGGGTGCTACTGTGGTTGGATTCTCATGAGAGCCTTCTTCCTGGCTTGTAGATAGCTGCCTTCCTGCTGGGTCCCCACATGGGAGAGAGCAGATGAGCTTTGGTCTGTCTGCCTTTTCTTCTGACACTTACCCCAACATGGGGGGTCCAGTCTTCATGACCTCATCTAAATCTAATTATCTCCCATAGTTTCCACCTCCAGATACCATAACATTGTGGTTTAGGTCTGCAGCATAAGAATTTATTGGGGGATGGGGCACACAAGCATTCAGCCCATAGCACTGCTCATAATACTTGGAAGATGTGAAAAACAGTTGGTGCCAGGGCCCTGCCTCCAGGGATTCTAATTTAGTTGGTTAGAGATAGACCCCTGGCCGTGTAATTTTTAAAGCCTCCCCAAGCGACTCTGATGTCCAGCCAATGTTGAGAGCTCCTGAGTTCATCCAGATGAAAGGCTTATTTCCACAGTGTCTCTGGCAAGTAGTACTGTGGTTTCTTCTAGAATACCACACAACTGATTTATTTAGTTTTGAGCAAAAGTTTTGCTTGAATCCGCTTATGTCAGCCTCTACACATGTCTCTGGAATGATACATGTAGGTTTAGTATCTTTTTAAACTCACAGACTTTAGTACTTAATGATTGCTGTCATGTTCCCTTTAAACCCTCTTTTCATCAGGCTTAAAGTCCTAATTTCTGCAGCTTTCCCTCTTATCACCTGGTTTCAGATTTGGTACCCAGAAGTAAAGACAATATCCTGGATATGATCTGTGCTTATTAATAAATGGAATTATTTTCTTCCTTGATTTTGACTTTCTCTCCTAAATTTGCACTTGCTTTTTTTGTAGCCATTTCACAGCATAATGCAATATAAATTATTTTGAGGTTAGTGGTGTAACTGTTTCTCCATTGGGTTTGAGAATTGGCTTAATCAGGTATTTACCAATGAAAACAATTTTCTTTAAGTGTGGATCTGCACTCTTTGTCACAATAGCAAAACATAATAACCCTCTTTGCCAAACTCCCATGGGATACAAAATTTTTAGGTCATCTGAGCTTTAACCTAGTGTGTAAGTCATTCATAAGTAAGAAACACCACTCAAAATATTTTTTTTAAAGATTTATTTATTTTAGAAAAGCAGAGCGCATGTGTGCGCACATGACAGGGGAGTGACAGAGAGAGAGAGAGAGAGAGAGAGAGAGGGAGGAGAGACTCTCAAGCAGACTCCCTGCTGAACGTGGAGCCTCATTCAGGGCTTGATCTCATGACCATGAGAGCTGAGCCAAAATCAAGAGTCAGATGCTTAAGCAACTGAGCCACCCAGGTGCCCCCACTCAAAATGTTTTTGTTTTTTTTTTTAAGATTTTATTTATTTATTTGACTGAGAGAGATCACAAGTAGATGGAGAGGCAGGCAGAGAGAGAGACAGGGAAGCAGGCTCCCTGCTGAGCAGAGAGCCCGATGCGGGACTCGATCCCAGGACCCTGAGATCACGACCTGAGCTGAAGGCAGCGGCTTAACCCACTGAGCCACCCAGGCGCCCCTCAAAATGTTTTTGAATGAGACTATAAATTTTCCTGTGGAGATCACTGGTAAAATTTTCAGATGTTTGCATTTTTTACCTTTAGACATTTCAAAATGGATATAGCAGTATTGAAATTCATTTTGTTTATCTGCTTAGGAAAAAATTTAGCTACAGCCCTAAAGCAAGTGCAGGACGAGTTCCTCTCCCACAGTTTGAGGGGAGTGCGAGGCATGTGGCAGAGACTGACGTGGCCCTTTCCCTCAGAAAGAGCAACTTGAGAGCCCAAGCAGGGATGCTTACTACTGGTCATCTCTGTAGTCCCATGGCTTTTTAGATACCATCTTTACAATTTCTGTCCCCAGCCTTATATATCTAACCATCCACTCAGCATCTCTCAGTTTTGGATGTCCACTAAAGCAACTCAAACCTGGTATGTCCAAAACTCAGCTCTTAATATTACCCCCACAAACTTGGTTTTCCCCCATTGATCATCAGCTCAGGAAATGGTGCCCCCGTTCATCCCAGTGGCTTAAGCCAAACACCTCAGAGCTGTCTTTAACTCAATCTTCCATTCTCTATTCAGCTTTTTCTAGTCAAGACCACCAGCATCTATTGTTTGGATCAGCTCAGTAGTCTTCCAGCCAGCCGATCTGCTCCTGGTCTTTCTGCTTCTGTTCTACCCAGACATGCATATACAGGCTCTGTATTCTGTCATAATAACTGGAGTGATCCATTTAAAACATAACTCAGACTGTGTTGTCTCTGCTCATAATTCCCCCGCGGCTTCCCATCATACTTGGGTTAGAAAGTGTGAAAGTCCCTTCGTGATGGAGTGGTATGAGACTGCCTCTCCCACTTCATCTTTACTTACTTTTCTACTCATGTTCTGCTTTAGTCACATTGCTCCCCCGCCCCTGTCAACCCTTGATGAGACTCTGGCATACTAAACACACTTCAGTCTCAGGAGCTTATCTGCCTACCCCCTTTCATTCAGGTTATTGCTCAAAAATGTTGTCATCTCAGAATGGCCTTCCTTGACTATCTTTTTTTTTTTTAATTATTTTTATTAACATATAATGTATTATTTGCCCCAGAGGTACAGGTCTGTGAATCATCAGGCTTAAACATTTCATAGCACTCACCATAGCACATACCCTCTCCCTACCTCCTCTCCCGCCAGCAACCCTCAGTTTGTTTTGTGAAATTAAGAGTCTCTTATGGTTTGTCTCCCTCTCAATCCCATCTTGTTTCATTTTTTCCTTCCCTCTTCCTTGACTATCTTATCTAAAATAGAACTCCATCACTCTTACCTGCGGTTTGTTGTTTTTTTTATTCCCCCATAGTAGTTTTTACTGTTTGATGCGATGTTACGTATTTTTTGTTTATGGTGTAACTCCTCCATTAGAACATAAGCTCCGAGAAAGCAGGGGCTTAGTTTTCCACATCCTGCAACCCTGCAGAATTCCTCAGTGCCCTCTCCTGCTGGGAGAAGTTGGTAGAAATGGTAAGGAGGCCAGACTTAGAACTTCTCACTGCACCCTACCACTTCTTCAAGGATTTTGACCTTTTTGTCTGTTTTGCGTATTGAGCCTGTAAGATGTAGGGTTCAGGGGCGCCTGGGTGGCTCAGTGGGTTAAAGCTTCTGCCTTCAGCTTAGGTCATGATCCCAGGGTCCTGGGATTGAGCCCTGCATCGGGCTCTCTGCTCAGCGGGGATCCTGCTTCCCTTCCTCTCTCTCTGCCTGCCGCTCTACCTACTTGTGATCTCTGTCTGTCAAATAAATAAAATCTTTTAAAAAAATAAAAATTAAAAAAAAAAAAAGATGTAGGGTTCAGCTGCTCAAAAAAAGAGTTACAGAATTCCTGGTCTACATGATGTCTTAGGTTTTTTTTTCTAGCTGTAAGATGTCTTAGCCAGGGTTACTCAAGCCTTGACACAACTGACATTTTGAGCTGGGTAATTTTTAGTTAAATGGGATACCATTAGCACCATAGTGAGATCCCATTATGTATTGGGCAGTTGTCAAAAATGTTCAAATTTGAATCTTCCAGTTGAGAACATGGGGCAGCAGGAACTCCCAAGTGGCTGTTGATGGGCATGAATGTATTAATACTGCCTCATTAGAGGGGCACCTGGCTGGTTCAGTTGGTAGAGCATGCAGCTCTTGATCTTGGGGTTGTAAGTTCAAGCTCCATGTTAGGGGTAGAGATTACTTCAAAATAAAATCTTTTTTTTTTTTTAGATTTTATTTATTTATTTGACAGAGATCACAATTAGAGAGGCAGGCACAGGGGGTTGGGGAAGCAGGCTCTCCGCTGAGCAGAGAGCCCAACCGATGCGGGACTCAATCCCAGGACCCTGGGATCATGACCCGAGCTGAAGGCAGAAGCTTTAACCCACTGAGCCACCCAGGCACCACTTCAAAATAAAATCCTAAGGAGAAATACTGCCATATTGGAAAACAGTTTAATATTATCCAGTAAAGTTGAAGATGTGCGTATCTTTTGATCTAATTATACCATCCCTGAGTATGTGCCCTAAAGAAACTTATGCGTATGCAGACCAATGTACAAATATAGAAATATTCATAGTGGTCTTTCCTGTGATGATAAATAATTGGAAAGCACCAAAATATCCATAAACAAAAGACAAATCCGGTACCACAGATAAGTTGTGGTGTATTTGTAAGTCATATACACAGCACTGGAAGGGAGCAAACTGCTGGTACTTGCAGCAACTTGAATTGATTTCGTCACATCAGACACAAAGGAGATATATACAGTGTGATCCCAAACAGGCAAAATAAAATATTAGACTCGGGTCTTGATCTTAGGATCATGAGTTCAAGCTCTGGTGTTGGGCTCCATGCTGGGCATGGAGCCTACTTTAAAAAAAAGGGAGCAGGGGCATGATCTGATTTTAGAATGGTAGAGCTCTTCTGACAAAGACCTGAGGAGGTTATGAAGAATAAATGTATGCCTTACTTGTCATTTGTAACCCCAAAACAAATGTTTTCTCTCGTGTTCCTCGTAGAGAACGCCAGATCAAGTGTCCTAAGTGTGATAAGCTGTTCTTGAGAACAAATCACTTGAAGAAGCATCTCAATTCTCACGAGGGAAAACGGGATTATGTCTGTGAAAAATGTACAAAGGCTTATCTTACCAAATATCATCTCACCCGCCACCTGAAAACCTGCAAAGGTCCCACCTCCAGTTCATCAGCACAAGAGGAGGAGGAAGATGATGACTCGGAGGAGGAAGAACTAGCGGACTCCGTGGGGACGGAGGACTGTCGGATCAGCAGTGCCATGTATTCAGCAGATGACACTCTCTCGGCGCCTAAGTAAAAAGCCAACAGTTTTGGATGGAAAATGCAAAAGGGAAAAACATGCAACCGCTTATCCACTACAGTGGTTTTTATATAAAATGCTTTCTGATTTTCTTCCAGCCAACAGTCAAAGCAGACTGAATGGGAATGGATAAAGCACTTACAGAAGAGCATCCTAATGAAAACACTGTAGAACAGATTGGGAAAAGAGAGCAGGGTAAACTATTTTTAAGTGATGTATGGGGAAGAAAGTGTCAGCTTCTGGAGTCCATTCCTTATTTTCATGATAAACTAGGTGATGCATTTATACCTGAGTCAAAGCTGTCCTCCGTCCAGACAAATCAGATTTATTTGAAATTCTTCCCATTGTTCCTTTTTCTTCCCGGCCCTGTGATGTAGTAGCACTCTAAACTTGGTCCCTGTCTCACTGTCATCCCGATTGCTGATTGTGGTTCTGGTGTTGTGTTTTATGTAGACTGTTGTGACTTAAGTCATCCCAGAATGAATTGGAACACAGCATTGTAAGCTTATTGCTTTGACTTAAGCTGACAAGTTTAAAGTACCACCTGCCTTAGTCTCTCTTGGCTACTTGGGAGTTTAGGGTAGATCTTCCCAGAATTTCAGCAGATGCCTCAAGGGCAAATAAAAAAGAACCAGCCAGGCAACAGGCAATGGTGGAGGAGAAAAGAAAAGGAGAGACATCTGGGCCACTGTCCAAAAAAACTAGCTTTGATGGAAGCCAGTTTGAGACACCTGTCATTGTTCCTTAGAGATCTTTGTAGGTTTAGACATGTCTCTCTCTCTCTCTCTCTCCAGTAAAGCTTCTAGCTTCTAGACAAAGGGGAGCTGGAGGTGTAGTGAGTCAAATAATGCCTGTTGGATTATCTCCTGACAACAAGCACATGTGGACTCAGCTGGCAAAGTGGTACCTCGGACTGTAGAAAGAAGGAGGAAATGATCCTTTATATCTGGCTTATCCTACGAGAAAGAACAAGACACCATTAAGATGCTGCCAGCTCAGAATGACAAAGGATTTCAGACATCAGTGCGTTTGCAAGGTTAGGCCTCGGTTGTCTGTGGTGAAGGATCTCATCAGTTAAGCATGGTGGGTGTTAACGGATTTCGAAGGTATGGAAGGCTCGATGGTCACCACATGGGTGTGTGTTCAGGGTCCCAGCGTAGTTAATTAATCCATCCATGTGGTCTTTCACTTGATCTCACACATATATCCTGCTTTCAGCAAGAAGCAAACACATTGTTGAGACGACGGTGGATGGAACAGCTTCTGCTCTAAAGGGCAGCCTCTGGGCTGGAGTAGAGAGGACTCTGGTGGGAGGGTTTTGCTGCTAATGTATTTATGGAATGAATGTATTTCATTCAAATCTGTATTCCTCTAGGAAGGATTAAAATAAAAACCTTTTTTAAAATACAGGCTTCTCTGGTAATCTCATTTTGTGGAAGAAGAAGAATGAGTCATTTAGGGAAAAATTCGGTATAGCTTGGTTTTGTTTTCTACGGTTGGAAGTGGAGAAAGTATTTTCTAAGTAGCATAACTTTGGGATAATACTGTATTTCTGCATAACGGTGGCTAAATGAACTATGCTTTCTCTGTTTCCCATTATCATGTCCGGCCTTCGTCCTCCCTAAGGGAGTGCCTTTACTGCCTTCTTGGAGAACTTGGGTAGGTGTACAGTTGAGGAACTGGGCGAGGTGGTGGTGGTTAGAGCTGGCTGCTGATACTGGGTCATGAAGCCTCTGTCAGATAGCGCTAGTGGGACTAGGGCAGCTCCAGACAGTCTTTTGCCAAAGGCATCCTGATGGCAGGCCGCCTCTGTTTCCAGGAAACTTGGTGCTGAACTACCAGCTCCCGCTCTCCATCCATCTCACTAGCTCATGCCGGGTTAAATGCCTTCATTTCCCAGCACTGGTTGAGATGCTGTCCACGATTGTTAGCCTGATAGGAAAACAGGAAGCCTGGGAAGTGGTTTGAGAATGTAGCTGTTGCTTATTTACAACTATCCTTTCCATGTTTTCCCTCTTAGACTTATATGGCACATTCTAAGTCTTTCCCAGGAAATAAACCAATTGGTAACTGCACTTTGCCAAGGGTTTACTCAGCCATCTGTACCGTTGCCAGTGGCCTGTCTGCTGCTGCTGTTGGGGTCAGTCTGTTGTTGGGTAATGGTCCCATTGAGAGGCAGGACGGGAGCTGTGGGCTCCGGAGCCCTGCCAGATGTCTGCGCTCTGGGCTTTGCTGCATGATGGTTTGTATCCTTAGCCAAGTTTTGGGAACTCTTTATTCCTCTGCTAACTGTAAAAGAGAATAGTAAGTGTTCCCATTTGTAATGCTGTTTGATGTTAATACATGTAAAGGGCTACCATGGTGCCCCACATACAGGAAACAGTATTAGCTAATCGTCCAGTTTTAAATTAGCCCAGCATAGATTTCTAGTCTTAAAAAATTAATTAGCCCAGCATAGATTTCTAGTCTGTAGGTGACCCAAGAAGCTCTAGGTTTTACTAATACAAGTAAAAGACACATGATTTGAGTTTTCAAGGCCAAACCTAGAAGCTAGTTTGCAGTTTTCTTGTAGCTTAGTACATGAGGCTCGGTGTTTCTTTCCTTAAAAGGTGAGTTCATAACCTCTCGTGTGTGCTGAGCTGAGTTCCTCAGCACATCAAAGGGCAAAGAGGTGACAGGAGTTAAGAGTCTCCATCAGCCTTTTTAGCACGTTGGCCTGTATACACGCTTGGAGATCAACACCTTCAGCTGTGTCCTGAGGAACAGGAGCATAACAGAAGCTCTCAGCCTGTCATCGGGTATGTGAACTTGAAGTATCTGATCACTAAAGCTGCATCATAGGGTCAGACACTCCAAAATCGCCTATCTGCATGTATACAAGTGACTACTGTCTGTTAGGGGTTGAAGTGTGTTACCCCAAGATTCATATATGGAAGTTCTGACCGCTAGTACCTCAGAAGTGTGAGCATATTTGGAGATGACGTCTTCGAAGAAGTGCTTGAGTTAAAAATGAGTTCCTTCATCCGTGTCATTGGTCTGGTAAGGAAATTGGGACACGGGTGAAGATCACGCATCTGTAAAACAAGGAAAGAGGCCTCCGAGGAAACAACTCTGCTGATACCTTGACCTCTGACCTCTGGTCTCTAGAACTGTGAGAAAACGAATTTCTGTTGGTTAAGTCAGCCAGTCTGTGGTACTTCGTTAGGACAGTCCTGGCAAGCTCAACAGTGGCCAGCTGGAGGTGGCATCTTTATGATGATTGCTCAATGAGGAGCAGCTTCCAGAAGCGTGGTGATAATTGTAACCTCAGCTTTGCAAATCCCCGTGAGCAACGTAAATGGCAGGAGCAGTTCACCGTGGTGTGTACGGTCACAGATCCTGTGCTTCTGAAAGGGATAGAATGACCTCTCAGCAGTGTTTTTGTTCCTTCATTTTTCTTGCATATACACACCTGAGAGTCATGAAGTGCCCTCAGACCCATGTAGTCCTCAGACAAGGACAAATCTTTCTTCTCAAAAACAGTCTAAGTACCGGCCCAGTTTAAGGCATTATAGGTGAACAGAAAAAAGGGGCCGGGACTCTAACCCTACCCTCCGGAAACAAAATCTTGCAGAGACCTGATTGTGCAGCGGGATCACCTAAGGAGCTAAGAGATGTCAGGTGTCCACATCGGCCCCAGGCCTACTGACAAGTCTCCTGGGATCCCTAGGCCCAGCTAATCCTGGAGCCGTCCACAAGTCTTCTGTTGGGAGCCTCGGAAGACAGGGGTGCAGACGTCTATCCCTGATGCAAGCCAGACCGTGGTGAGTGTTGCAGGTATAAGTATTATTAAAATCCAGGAGCAAGAGTGGAAAAGTCCTAAGTGAAGACTAGTAAAGAAAAGTGGGGTAGACCGGCCTGGATCTAAGTTGTAATAAAGATGGAGCAATGTGTTCGAGCTAGAGGACTAAAAATTTTAGAATACCTGGTTTACCAAATCAATAGCTGCTTTTTGGTTGTTTTTAATTACAGGATACTGTTTACTTGTGGCAGGCATTGTTCTTCTAAATGCTTTATAGATAACATTTAAGCTGCATAGTTGACCTGTGACCTGTGATTATCCCTACTTGACATCATAAGAGGCTGACGTGCAGAGTTAAGTGGCAGATGGTCCCCTGACTAGTTGAGGCACAGTCTGTGCCTCGCTAGCCAGGCTTTATTGATTCTTCAAGTGGCCCAATTAAATTTGGAATCTCACCATGGCATATATCCATTACACATCTTCAAAGGAAATCACAAAATCTAAGCGATTCCATTAGATAAAGCTTATTTATAGACATGAATTAGGGAGCTCGTGATGAGTATGCTCTAGTTTTTGTGTTCTCTGCTCTGTGGCAGCACATCCCCTGCCCTTCTGTACTGCTTCGGACTTGCTGAGGCCCAGGCTGGAGATGGGCTTTGTTTGGGGATGAACATCAAGGTCCATTTACAGCCACAATAGAGCCACAATAAGAGAAAATTACTTAAGGAAGAAGGTAGTGATTGTAGGAAAGTTGGTCAATAGACCACTTCCAGCCCTTCTTAGCTAATAACATGGTCTCATGCATTTTTGACACATTTACTTGCACATACATCCTAGAATAATAGTAGTATATTTTAGTTTAATGTCTATTTAGTCCTTCTAGAGCATTATGAAAGTAGGTTTTATCTCATTTTATAGATGGTGAAAACGAAGTTCAGAAAATTAAGATCTTCTACATTTCCTATCGGCGATCTGCCTGGTAGTACTTGCTGAACTGTACGTATTTCAGGGTGCCTGGGTGGCTCAGTTCAGCATCCGTCTCTTGATCTGAGCACAGGTCGTCATCTCAGGGCGGTGAGTTCAAGCCCCACGCTGGGTTCTCTTTCATGTTCCTCTGACGATTTAACAACTCATTTCAGGGAGCATCACACTGCCACCTGTAGTAGTTGTGTGTTTGCCCTGGGGTGGGAAATACATTTTTATAAGCAGAGAACACCTTTGTGGGTTATTGTGCTTAATTGGTTTAGAGAACTGGCTCTCAGCTTTGAAAGATGAATTATTCAAAAGCGTGGGAGATGACATCATACTCAATTACGGAATTTTTCAAGATGCCTGACCCAGATATGCTTCAGCGAAATGAATGTGAGCCAGGCTATTTTACATCTGAAATTCCAAAAACCCAAATAGCGTTTCACTATATACTCTCTTTGGGAAAGGAACATGTTAGACTTCAAGGGTGGTAGGGAGAGAGGTGCACATGTAAAGAAAAGCAATGGCTTGTGACCCAGAGATCCAATTTCAAGCTTCTAAAAAGGAAAAAAGAATGAAAAGGGTATAATGAAAAAGATATGTATGGCATCCTAGTCCTTTCTTATAGCTGTGTGGTTAGGACAAAGGACTATATCAGTGTTTTTAGCAGTGTAGATGGAAGAAGTCTGTGTGTCCTCCGGAAGGGCAGTGTTGAGTAAATCATGGCACATCCATAGAAACAACACAATGTGGTCATCAGTCAGGATGAGGTAATCCGTATGTTAACATGGAATTATCTCCAAAACATACGAAGTGAAGAAGCATGTTGTCTGACCTATTACCTATATCTACATAATACGGTAATCTGAATTGTACAAAGAAGATACCATAGATTATCAATTCCCTTTTATACTTTCCTGGGCTATAGAGTCTGGAAAGCTAAAACCTGCTTCCCAGACTCCTTTAGAGCTAAGATTCCAAAAAAACCCCAAAGTTCTCTGAACAGATGCACTTAATACGAGATTTTGATGCAGAACTGAGTTATGTTGGGGGAACAGCAAGGCCCGAGGCAATTATATTATTAGGCAGGCTTCGATCTTACCAAGGGTGATTTTGGAGCTAATGGCTGTGATGGATGGAGGTTTTCTGATGTGGCAGGAACTTCTCAATCATAAAAACAGCAGCTGTGCCTTGCAATTTCACTTCTGTGATTATGGGTTTGGAAGTCATCCCTGGAATTCAGCCTACAATCCATTTCAGGCCTTTTCAGTGATACCACGAGTTTACGATACTGCTTAATAAATTCCTTTTGCTTAAACTAGAGCAAGGAGATTCTGTCGTCTGAATATAAATGCTGATCAAGTAATTGATATCAGAAATATTGCAGGAAACAAATCCTCAAGGAAACGTGATCTTAGTTTAGTTATATGACCTGGCTGGGTTTCAGGGCAGAATGGGACACAGAATTATACTGGAACCTGGTTTAGAGCTTCACCTTTGATTATTGCATTGAAAGGTACCCTTATCAATAAATTCAGCTTGAGGGGCACCTGGGTGGCTCAGTGGGTTAAAGCCACTGCCTTCAGCTCAGGTCATGATCCCAGGGTCCTGGGATTGAGCCCCGCATCAGGCTCTCTGCTCAGCGGGGAGCCTGCCTCC